AATTTGTTCGGACTTGCTTAGTTAGGAATCATTTATCCGAAACCTTTAATAAATGTGGGAATGACCGAATAGTGACAAATTTCGGATCGCTTACGCCTGATCACATGATGCGGCAACGTTATGAGGTATTGCGTCAAAAGCCGGCCTGAAAATTGTGTTTAAATGCGGCACGAAGCTTTGCAGCCATTTCAGCCGGCTGAAGACCTGGATACCGTTAGAACAGGAACAATGCGATGTGGGGAGGGGGAGGGGTAAAAGTTTCCCTGCTCGTGTGGTTTGGTGTACATCGAAGAAAGAAAGGCAGACCATAAAAAACCTCATTAGTTAGGACAACACGGATGCAAAAGACATAAATTGATGACGGAAAGACAGAAGAAGGAAACACGAAGAATTCCAAGATTATCAAAGCGAAATGTCAGAGAAATTCAGCTATAGTAGAACATGCTGTATTCCATCAACATACGATATCTTGGGATAAGACTAAAGGTCTCGTGTGGAATAAACATTATTTCACCTGTAAAATCAAACAACCGTTGCTGATTCGCGCAGCCAGCTGTATCAATCGTGTCTTGGCTCAGACTTCAGCGGCACATAGACCAAACGGTTACTCAGGATGAGCAACAATCGCGACTTCATTTTTCATACGCATCAATTTGACCTGCATGAAACAGGCCAAACAAATATCACTGTTACTCTGAAGACGAACCGTGCCTGGTCCGAAACGTCAGTATCTGTCGTGCCATGTTTTCAATTAAAAATTTTGTGTTGTTATGCCGTCTTTGACTTAACCAGATAATTTATTTACTACAGTATGAAATAGTAGCATATGGTATACTGTATTACGGTTAGGTGTATGGTGTTTATTTGAGTCTAAGAAAAGTGTGAGAACCGGTTTCCTTCTGCCGTTGACACTTTGCTGGAGGAGATTCTAGAAAAACCAAGACCTCCGCTGAAATACGTACGTCTTGAATTCGATGAATCCGCGACCGGTAATAATATGGTAACGTATGGTGTAAAGTTGTATTACGTCGTGCCTACTTGAAAGGAGGATATAACTAGCATATTTACCTTGTTCGAGTATGAGTTTTGTGAACCGCTTCATTTCAGGTTGACACTATAATGCGCTTCAGTTTGATGCCTTGTGCAGTTTCGTTTTACCATCATTGAGATTTGGAATATACATATGTTTGGATATCAACGCCACGCTGGCTCTTAGCTTAATTTCAAAAGTTTTGTCCATGTCTGCACATTCTGTGATTAAAGAAGGGCTACGTCTGTTGCGACAGTAAAAGCCGGATTAGCGACTGGCTTTAAATGAGATCTTAGATGTTTATTGGAAACCCTTGACAGTGCGTATCTTCTGGTTCCGCTAATTACTCCAAAAAGACTATCGTGATTTTAAGCACTTCCTTCAATTAACGGAGGAAGAGCGGCGTCTGTGAGGTTCTTATGTAATTTCCTGAGTTACTGGAAGTGTGTGGCTTACTGTCGAAGGTATGGAGGGCGGATGTTCGATAAAGCAGGAAGTCACGGACTTGATTGACTCATGCTTTTCGTGATCGTCGTTATGTTCAACTTTGCATTAACTTTACTGTCGTTGCACTCTTGAAAACTGAGGGACGTTTGAGTTGCGATGTTGGAGTACAAATTGGTTTTCTTCACCATCTTACACGTGTGGTCCTTAAAGATGAGATTCCGGCCAAGAGAGACAGATGCCAAGATATACTGGACGTCTACCTGATGCCCATCGCATAGATGGTAGTATTGACGAACTCTGTGGCATATCGGTTGCCGAGATTGAATGAATGCCATCAAAGTGATTTTGATAGGTTGTATCATGACACTGCCATAAATGCAAGATGAACTCGTTTATTTGTTTGTTGTTACGGCTGTCACCATCACTGCTTCGTCTGGCTCCAACGATGTCCAGCATGTCTTTACTTTCCGCCTCTGTCGACCACCAAGTTCAGCTCCGTACTCTCTCGGCGCAGAGAGTACTTCAGCGTCAGCTGTGACAGCTGACAGTGTCCCAGCAAGAGTTAACTTTTCATTTTCTTTTCCGATGACATCCACGGATTGGGGGTGGCAATCAATATAGTGAATGTTCTGGACCCCTACGACGTTTATTCGTTGCTTAGTGTAGTGACGTTGTGGCTTTTGGTGCGAGACGCTTCGTTGGTTATTTTTTGTGGTGTACTACAAAAGTTTGGTTGTAATTCCCATTGGATGTTCACCTCAGTCAATCTCAGATATTAGATTAGTAACATGAAGGTGAATTTCTAGTTTGGTATTTGTAATTCGCGTTCTAACAGTTTTTGTTGTCCTTCAAAATCCAACCTCGGGGTCCCTGTTGCGGAGGGCAGGCAACTACCAACGTCGCGGCAATGGTAACCGGAGTCGAACTGGGCCTTTTTATGATGATTCTGATCAGCAGAAGAGCGCTTCAAAGCTGCCATTGAAAGGATCAGAGTTCAGGGTCGATCAAACGGTAGCACGACACGTTTAGCGCTATTTCACGCCATGTCTTTACCCTTCAAAATGACCATCTCGACTCTTGGCAGTGCTGACGGATGAACCGAACGACGCCGATGTCTGAAAACGAAAAAAAGACGTTCCTTACATCGTCTGAAGGACGGTCGCGTGTATCAAGATCAAACATTGTGTGCGCCAAAACTCATACATTCATATTGTCATCATTTTAAACGGTGGATGACATTTGTCATGTCAGACGTACTTGCTAGTAGTGAACCTGACCTCACTTATCCGACGAACCACAGAAGGCCATATTCATATGCTATGATATCCACATGACATGGTTGGAAATTCGAACCGGTACGGTCGCCATCAGAAACGTCCTTGTCGACTTCAGAGTAATATCTTTAGTTGCAGCTTTGATTTGACTACTGTTTCTGTGTCAGTCATTTTAGTAATCAGTTGCTTACTTTATGGTTAGGAAAAGGACCCCTCTGTTAAAGGATGTCACATGAACATCGTTTCAACTGAAAATTAAGGTACCGTCAATCCTTTAATTGTACTTTACTGCACTTCATGGTTTTCTACTACTAGATTACTTGGTCAATTGATTGAATGTTATTCAGCTGACAAATCCAAGGTTGAGGTCACGCTGAGGTTAAAGGTTGCGAAACTATTCTTTTTGTTCTATAAGTGAATCGAACTCGTTAATGAGTGACAGGTCACAAGGTGACCGTTTAACCAATCAGAACCGAATATAAAGTGCCAACGGACAGCAATCAGCATTAGCTAGGACATAACAATCTTAAAAAATAAATTGCGTGTTTCCGGGGTATTCATGTTTATCTGAAATAATGCAGCGACGGCGTTTCGACTGACAAAATATCGATCTTATCGAATATATGAAACAGTATTGCATAAACGCATACAGGTTTGAAAGGGAAGTTGATCTGCAGGTTGTGTATTAATTGCTTGTTTATTATTTATAATTTATTCGAAGTATGATATTCTGAAACGAGTAGTTAATTACTAGATGAATTTGCATCCGTACTGCCGAAAGAAACGATGTAGGATCTTCGAAGATATGTTAAAAATTAATTTTTCGTCTATGTTATCTAAACTGGTATGTCGTACGGTAATGTGTCTCATGTCCCGTCTTCGAGACCTGCTTATTCTATAAGTTGATGAAAATCGGTAGATGGATGAAGTTTTCGACGAATGAGCGTGCGCGAGCGACCGCCCTTCGTCCGTTCGTCCGAGCCATTAGCATTTGGCGTGGCGTTGTTTTTCATCACGCGCCTGGCCTACATTCGTCCACTTTGGTTGTCGTGTGCCAGCAGAGGTCGCTAGTGATGGCTGACGACGACGAGGCTGCTTTGCAGCGGCCTTTTGTGTCACTTGACGTACTGAGGTGACTCTGCAGCGGTCGTGCGGTGCGGGTCGCTCGGCTAAAAGCGACAGCAAGGAGGTTGAGACGCCGTTGTCTTGCGTTCTGCTTTTCTTCCTCAGCGAACGTGCGGGTTGGAACTCGGAGGCAAACGATTCTGAACCCTCGTGTGACCGTGTAAACATCGGTGCTGGTTATTTTTCCCGTAATACGTGGTTTCGTGGACACTGTCGACAGGTCAGCAGCATTTCGGCTTTGGTCTGCATGTCGCAAGTGTCGTCCGCCATCCTTGGTCGATCGCTACTTCTCTGATGGTACCCATTATTGCCTCTGAGGAGTTGGTAAGTTTGTCAGTAAACGCTTATAGA